AAGGCTGCAGAGGGAATAAGTGGGGAGACATAGGGCAAGGAGGCTACTTGACTTCCCCCCAGCCACTGCCTTCCATGCTGTACCAGTTGGAGGTGGGGATGAGTGCAAGACAACCCTCTGATCCTTAGGTTCTACACCTGGAAAATTGTAACAAATGTATACATTTTCCATATATGGAATCTAATTATTGGGCTTGTCTTAAATTCAGGGTCATCTTAGATTCAAGTAAATGTAATATTTCTAATGAAGTGGTATTGCTAATGAAGCTAGTTTTGACAAGGCATGTGCTAAAATATAGCATCTTTCCCTGAGTTGTTTACAATGTAAAGCCCATCTCCCCAGTTGATTAACTAGTACAGAGTCCTGCACCCATTCATAGTTCCACTGACCTTAGTGGAAGTCTGAATGAGTGCAGGAATACTTGCTGTTGGTTCCCATTTCAGGAAGGCGGCTTGAAAGAGACAACTGAGAGGACACGTTCAGAATGTAGGAGGAAATATCACGTTTGAATTCTTTCTGCTTGTGGATCTTGCCCAAATGGAAGCTGTCACTTGTGCATACTGTTGTTGTAAGCCATTTGCAGAGATGAGCAGCATTCTTCCAGAGATTTCAATATATCATAAGTAAACAATTTCGTTTTAGTCCTGGATTAAGTCCACCTCCAGCTGTCAAGGCCTTCTCTCCAAACTAGTTGTGAAGGATAATCCAGGACAAATTATCAAATAATGACAAATGGAAATTTTGAGGAGTGCTAGGTTCAGTAGAAAAGGATTAAGAGTGACTGCTTTGGTTACAATCCTTTTTCTTTTGGAAGGAATCTTAGATCTTTAAAGGTACAACCGTATATTATTAATATTTCATACAATCTAGGTTTTCTAAGCAGCTATACTAGATTGAATATTCAAATTAAATGCAATTATGGCTTGCTTCATTGACTTGTTAGCTGATATGCTAAATTGCAATAGCAAATCTATTTTTAAATTATAACCAGCTACAAAGATCTCGTTGGGACAACTACAAAAATCACGAAGTCTGGTCTAACATTAAGCTATTATATCTGTAAATGTATAAATAAAAATGAAATCTATTATAAATGATCAATTAATATTATTCTAATAGATTGCAGCTCTTTTAACTTTACCTTTTGATGTGGTGAAAACACACAAGCAGACTCAACTTTGGGAATGCGAGACCTTAAATAGTAAGTTCCTTGGAATCAGATTTCTGAATGTTTTTTACATTTTATATTAAATTAAGAATTATTCCCCTTTCTCATTCCACCCCTGAAATGGTGAAATTCTCCCTGGAACAGGCGGCTTAAATAAATACACTTCATTGCTTTTGTAAGGAGGTAGAGCTTTTTGTTTGCTTTTATATACTTTTGCTTGTTGGCCAACAGAAAGATGAGGAACCTTTACATCTAATGTGTTTGTGCTGGTTGGATTGTTATAATTTTTAATGGGGACTTTAGAAGGGAAGACAAGGAAAAGATTTAAAGTGCATCTCCAAGCTCTGACAATAGCTCTCTTCTCTTTTCCAAACTGTTAGCATTTCTGGAATGCTTCTGGGGAAACTGGTGTTTGATGTGTGTTAATGATTTGCAGGAGTGAAAAGATAAGAGACTGGTAGTACTGTTTTGTTTCATAAAAACTTATAGAAGGGGGGTGTCAAAGTCATCTGACCTATATAGTGCAGGAAATTTGGCAGTTGAATTTTAATTGCTACAGTGCACAGAGCTTCAGCAACCTCTGTTTCTGTTGCCACCTAATTTCTGGCCCCATGGGCCACATGACATGGCTCTGCACTTTGATTTCTCCCCATGGGATGGATAACAAGTCCATGGGACAGATCTTTGACAACCCTGCTGTAGAACAATGGGAACAAGGAGCATGCTGTTGGAATTGGGCAGTATGAGCTCTGATTACTATACATTTTTCCAGGTTGAATATGATTTACATATGCAAAAACTGAACATGAATAGTCCTTTGTGGACAAAGCTTTGGAGTGGATATGAATAACTTGATAAAAATATTTCCATATATAGCTCTGCTACTGTTTTTCGAAATATATGTATATCTTGATCCATCCACTCTCTTAGAAAACAGAAGCATCAGCAGTCTAGCCCTAGCAGTTTAGTATTTTCCAGTTTTTGAATGCAATTAGCTTTTCTTCTTTAGCTTTTTAGTGCATTTCAACTAGGAAGGCACTATGTTATGTTCAAGCATTGTATTTTTGATCTTCCCCTTTTACTGCTCCCTTTCAAAGAGAAGAGCAATGAGTAGTGATGGCATAATGGGGAAATATGCAACAGTAGCTACTCCAATAACCTAAAGGAGTAGGTATGAAAGGAAGAATTTTATTACTTGGTCACAGTTAGTTACTACTGCACTTAAAGCTATGACATTCAGTATGTATATATTTTTTTCCCTGTTCATCAAAACTCCCATCAACTTCAATGGACATTAGATCATTGCTGTAATATTATGGCATAATCAAAAAGCTGAGTCTGTTTTATTAGCAGTCTATTAGAAAACGTGTGAGTAGCATGAGTGGATTAACTACAAAGAATCTTCTACGAAAAAAACAGTGGAAATAGTAGAAGTTTCTCTATGTGAGAAACTAACATTAAACACAGGCACAGAAGAAATAGCTTCTTGGTCCATAGAGAGCTAAGCCTTAAAATTCAAGAAAACATAGCTGCCTCAACGCTTATCCCAACTTAGCACATATGAACAGTATGGATAAAATTAACATAAAATGAATTGAAAAATCTGTGACCAACATAACCACTAGTGTATTTTACTGATGCAATGCCCTCTAATTTTCAAGAACATTTTCTATGAATTTTTCTTTGATGGTAATGTTTTTAGTTCATGCTCTCTTTACTGTATTATACTTAGTATCACAGAGGAAGTCTGCATCAACTTGGACAGTAATGAAGAAAATTGTTGCTGAAAGTGGGTTTACTGGATTATTTGCTGGTAAATTGTAATATCTTTCTAAAATTTTTTGTTTTTCATCTGCCCTATTTTTAGAGTCCCTTCTCATTAACATCAATATCTTTTGCAGACATTTTTTGATTTTATGGTAATTAAAAAGCTATTCCTGCAGCCACATTAGTCTTTTGTGGTTCCTCTTTCTTCTGCACTTTAAGAGATTGATGTTGCGTCTCCAATAGAAGTCTCTCAGGAACTGCCAATTTTTTTGGACCCTACATTCTTTTAATTTGTCTATTCATGGACTCATACCCAGTGTCTTTGTTTTGCTGATTTCCTGCCTTCCTTGATTTAGACTGGTAATAGTCTTATATCACAATCACTTCTTTACTTTACAATACCTTGAATATTTACATCCAGCTCATCCACACTGGCTGGAACCAGATCCAAGATTGAAGGCTCCTTAGTTTTTTCCTTAAGTTTCTGAAACAGAGTTATCCTCTACACACATTAAAACGTTTTGGACAGTTTTTGTTTGTATTATTTTTCTTACAGCTGATATCAAGGAACTTATACCTCCCCTTTGCTGTTAACGGTAGCTCATACCTGAAAAACTTGAAAGATGCTTCACCTAACTTCTCTTTCCAATTCCATGGTCTACTGTAGACTCCTACCATAACATCACTAGTATTTTTTTTTCCATTCATCTGGATTAGTTCAACAGATTGGCTGTCCTTTTCTTCTTGAACTTAAGAACAAGTGTATTTACATTTTTGACATATAGTGCGTTGCTTCCTTTTTTTCTTCCCTTACTTGTCTTTCTGGAACAAGCCATGCCTAGGGACCTACCTAAATCCTGGCAAGACAAAATGATCTTCCTGGGCCACACATGAAACCGATCTTGCGGTCTTTTCTCAGCAAGCCCCCCCACACTTGCTGCTGATTGGCTGAGAGGGAAAACCTGCAGCATAATTAATAGCAAAGTTTGCAGAAATATCAAATAAATTACTGCATTAATTTAAATCTAATTAAAATACATTATGAATATAAATGTTTACACAATATGAATTGTAAATAATATTTATTAGCATTCTACAAAAAGTTTAGTAATACTAAATAGTGCTAACTTTGATAGATACAATTCATGTTAGTTGTTAAACATTAGCATGCAGCATTCACCACCAGTTGCAGCTGACATCCTCGGTCTCTGCCTTGCGAACACTTATCAAGACACTGAGATCACACGTTCTGCATCCACTGAATTGGTTGGAATGGTAAGGCAACATTTTGCCAAGTTGTAGAGATGTGGAAACTGATCAGAAACAGACTCGCAAAACAGTCACAGTCAAAGACATTTGGCCTCTTTGACAGTTCATGTAAGTGGCACATTTCTTCATCATGGTCTTCTGCCCTCTTGGGATTAATTTCAGGGATTGACTGAAACATGTGAAGCAATTACTCCTGGTAGATAATCTTGGCAAAGCTTGTTCACACATGGGAAACTATTAGCATTTGGCACATCTTTTTTTTTCAAGTAGTTCCTCAATTCAGGGTTATCAATTTTCTCCAGAAGAATGTAGGCAGCGGTGAATAGCTCCACTAGTGCAAATGTAGCCTCTCCTTGTCAAAGTACTTTCAGTAGTTCTTTTAAAGATTGAGGCATAGTTGCTCGTTTCTTGTTTTGACCTTCAGCCTCTGCAGCAGCCTTTCACTTTATACGTGATTCAGACTCTAAATGCTAATCAGTGCTGTTTTTCCTCGACACATCCAGAGTTGCTGCACAATGAACTAAACAATGTATTACCATCTGCATGCAAGGTTCCTGTAGG